CCATTATCCCCTTACGTTAAGCATGATTTTGACGATTATATTGTCTGAATGCCAAATAAGATAGACCTTGACTTAAAAGAGTTCATTTAGTGATTGTTGAAAGTTACAACACCACTGAAAAAACTGACTTATGATCGTTTTCACACTTACAACCATTGCAGCATCCCCTTGGTCATGTGATCAAAATTCAGATGTTTAGCAACTGACTCATATTTATGACAGTTGCAGTGTCCTGGGGTCTTATGATAATCTTTTGCAATCTTCTGACAAGCAAAGTCAATGGGGAAGCCAGATTCACTTAACAATGATGTTACTAACTTAACAACTGTGGCAAGAAAGGTGGTAAAATGGGGCAAAACTCACTTAACAAATGTTTCACTTAGCAACATAAATTTTGGGCTCAGTTGTGGTCACAAGTCAAGGAATTCCTGTAACCACCATGTCAGAGTTGTAGAAATCAGTCTTTACAAGCATATTTTACAAGCATTTCTCCTAGAAATCAGATAAACCTGCAGAAATCACTGTACATTCTGAAACGCAATCAACATGCCAGACATGGAGATTTAAACAATTCTGGGTTTTATTTAACTCTACATGCAGCATTAAAAATTAGTCTGCAAATTAAATTCCATTCATAGTAAAAAAAAAAAAATCCCTTGAAAACACAACAAAAGAAAGACTTGAACTGCAATGAAAGAACAACAAAAGACCCCAACAGGCAACTAACAGAGCACTTTCATAGCACCACAAACCTCAGGCAACACTTTCACACCATCATGGTAATGCTTTTATTTAAGCTATTCCCCTTAAGCTGTGGAGAATAAGGGAGAGGGTCATCCAGCTGGCCAATAGGAAGTAGAAAACAAAAATTCCAGAAGCTTTCTGTCTCTCCATTCTTACTAGATTTATTTTTATAGTAAGGAAAAACATGACTGGATGAGGGAAAATGGCAAAGCTACTAACTATTGGAATACTTCAAAATAACAGGGCTTGGCAGCAAGGTACTATGACACTTTGGTTCAAGAAATAAGAGCCTAAATGCTAGGAAGCGGATCAAGGTAAGAGTTCACACCAATGGAAAATAGCTACACTTCATAGTTCCAGAGAAAACACTGCAAAAAGATTATTTTCAGCTGAACCAAAAATTAATTAGTGCAGCCTATAAAGGCCTCCAGAAGCTGCAGAATCATAAGAATACAGATCAGTGCAGTTCTCGTGTATGGAAAAGATCTTAGTATCGACAGCCAATAGGAGTGATAATGGCATAGGAAGCTGCCACCAGCATGAATTTATTTTATTTATTTATTTATTTGTTTATTTAATTTCTACCACGCCCTTCTCCCAGCGGACTCAGGGCGGCTTACAGCCATCTAAAACAGGTACATAATACAAAAATACTAATTTTAAAATGTAATTAAAATAGAATATTAAATTATTGGCCTTTTCTTTTTTTAAAAAATTATTTTAAAACCAAATTAAGATAACCCTTAGGCCAGTCCTGCTAGCTTAAATAGCCATGTCTTGAGGGCGCGGCGGAAGGAGGGGAGATCCGGAATCACCCGGATCTCTGGGGGTAGTTCGTTCCATAGGGTGGGGGCTCCAACCGAGAAGGCCCTCCCCCTGGGGGTCGCCAGCCGGCACTGTCTGGCTGACNTATATATATATATATACTGCCCAGAGTTGCTTCAACAGTGAGATTAAAATATACACCTGCTTTGAAAAAATACAGTGCAGAATATATTGTGCAAAACTTCTTTTAGTTCGATAGTAGCAACTGAGGATGAAGAACCAACAATTTTGAAGAGTAGTGTAATGTCATATTAGTTCAAATTTCAAAACAGACTAGAACTAGATTAAGTTTCAAGACTATGACCGTGTTCCTACATGCTGCAAGTGCACCTGAAAGGAATAACAAGAAAGCTTATGAACTAATCTTTACTCCTCTTTGAACCTTCATTGTGATTATTAGTTCAAGTTAAAAAATTTATCTGAAGCTCAGCATGCCATCCAATTGAAAATAATTCCAGTAAAGTATAGTGGAGAAGTTTCTGTACTAGGACTGAATGACTGTTCAATATGCTTCAAGGGTTATAGCAGGAACAACTGGAAGAGTGAGTTTTATGCTGTGTCTTGAGCGCCTAGTACAGTGATGGCAAGCCTTTTAGAGACCGAGTGCCCAAACTGCAACCCAAAACCCACTTATGCATTGTCGGGTGCCGGGTGGGTGTGGCCCATTGGCTGGGTGTGGCCAATTGGAAGGGTGTGGCCCATTGGATGAGCATGGCTGCAGTGGTAATGGCAGACTGGGTGGGACTAAAAAGTTCAATCAATCAATTCCAACTTTGCAAGACCTTTTTTTCCCCCAAGAATAGTTGAAATTGACTGATTGATTGAACCTTTTTTTTTTTGCACACGGCACCGGAGGTCTAAAGCGAAAAGGTTTTATAAAACCCAACTAAAGGCCAAGGACTGGGGCGACGGCGCGCGTGCCCACAGAGAGGGCTCTGAGTGCCGCCTCTGGCACCCGTGCCATAGGTTCGCCACCACTGGCCTAGTAGAATGAGGGAAACCTTGTATCGCTCTAGGAGGTAAATAAACACTATTTGGATTGAAGAATAGCCCATGTTTGAAACTTAAACAAGTCTTTAAATTCTAGTTTCTGCAAATGAGCAACTATGGCCGCTCCAGATTCATATAACACCACGAGCTTCAGGGAGATTTCTGCCCTGTTAATGAATCATATAATAAAATAGCTTCAGGGGACACCGTCATGAATTCTTTATAGGTGCGTAGTGTGTTGGGGTTACACAGCTGGTGAGTTAGCATGCAATTAAATCCTCAAGACGCACAAGCATCTGCAGCAAACCAGGAACTGAGTCAAAATGATGTCCCTGATGTTGCACGGCAAACTCCCTTCTGTACCAATCTCCCAGCAATCTGCCAGAAGTGCAATTCTTGCCTCATGAGAGTACAAAACATGTTTTATATGTTTGCTTCCCGCCAGGGATGTCTAAGCTTTATCCATAAGCGCTGTAGCTGAGTCAGTTAGTTGGCCTCTCCTCGTACCCTTAGGGCTCCGGTTGATTAGAAGGTGTTTAAAAGAAGTGTTTCTCCATTCAGCAAAAATTATTTTGCCAGTACAGGCTTACTCTGTAGTTTTGTGTTTAGTTTTCTCAATGCAGTGGGAATTAGAGCACACCCCATAAGGACCCAACTGACTTTTGTTGCCAAAGCTGCTGTTGCGACCTCATTTTTTTGAGGGAGACGGTAGACCAGTGATGGTGAACCTTTTAGAGAACGAGTGCCCAAACTGCAACCCAAAACCCACTTATTTATCGCCGGGTGCCAGGTGGGCGTAGCCCACTGGGTAGGCGTGGCTGTGGTGCTCATGGCAGACTGGGTGGGTGTGGCCAAGGTGGGCGTGATCACCTCAATGTTGCTTGTGGGGAGGGACACCTGTGGGGGCCGGGCAGGGTTGGGGGAAATCCAGGGGGTCTCTGGCAGGTGGGGCAGTGGGCAGGAGGCTCGTCCTGCGGGGTGAGGCAAGGCAAGGCGAGGCAGGGCAGGGGAGCCATTGTCGCAGGGCAAGGCGAGCCAGGGGCCGGGGCCGCTGCTGCCTGACACCATCAGCCCCTGCTCACAGAGGCCAGTGAGTGTATGGGTACTGTGATGCATCCGGCCTTTGGACCTCGGCAAGTTAGCGGGCGGCTGGTTGAAGAGGGATGGTTGGGGCATAGCGCGCGTGCCCACAGAGAGGGCTCTGAGTGCCACCTCTGGCACATGTGCCATAGGTTCGCCACCACTGCAGTAGACTATCCTACAGCTCCACTAGGCACAGAAGCAGAAGACTATGCACACCAGTTTTACCTTTTAGGGCAGTGGTTCTCAACCTGTGGGTCGGGACCCCATTTGGGGTCGATCGACCATTTCACGGGGGTCGCCAAGCAAGGCTGTCCGCCATTTTTTTTGTCCGCCATTTTTTTTGTCCACCATTTTTCCCCTTTTCCAGCGGGTGCCTTACCTCCCTTGGGCTGGGCCAGCTGGTGGTCGGCCTGCTCCGTCTCTGCCACTTGCCAGCTACGCCTCAGCCGGCGCAGGGGGCAGAACCATGCATGCGCAGTGCTCCTGGGCAGGGAAAGTCCTCGACTTACGACCGGTTTAGTCCTCGACTTATGACCGGTTTAGTCCTCGACTTATGACCGGTTGGGGGTCACGGCATTAAAAAGGTTGAGAACCACTGTTTTAGGGGGAACCCACGCTCCATATTTTGCTCCCACCAGATGGGCTCCTGCATTTCGTTATGTCCTGTTATTTGTCTCCACCGTGTGACCTGATTCCAGTGGTTTTCCCACCAATCTCGTTTCCCCCCCCCCTCCTAAACACACACCTATTCCCAACCTAACAGGCAACGCTTGGTTTTTTCCTGCAAAGCGCGAGAACGTTCGATTCGTTGCAAGTAACACAAATCCCCCCATCAGATCTCGCCCTCCCCCCTCCCCCCACCCCCCGCGTTAGGTTTCAAACAAAACCCAACTTCCAGCATTCAAGGCAGGAAATCTGCCCGGCTTGAATCCATCCTTTCGTTCCTTCCACGGTCGAACAAGGAAGGCTCCGGGCTGGTTGGGGGGGGTGGGAGGGGGAGGGCCGAAGCAGCAGCAGCCGCGGGAGCGTTAGGACTTGCCTGCTTCCCGCTGGTTGACAATCCCAGCAGCCAATCCGAGGGCGCCTCCTGAAGGGCTGGTGACAGGCAGGGCGGCCTCTTCGTTGAGCTGGCAGGCTGGGCGGGCCCAGTTCGGCGGTGGCTGCTGCTGCTGCTGCCGCTCAGGGAGGGGTTTAGAATAGCATCAGTAGCGCTGACCGGCCAGATTTAAGGCACATTAAGCTCGGCGGGTACCCGCGCGCGCCTGAGTATCTTCAGCAGCGGCAGCAAGCGGGAGGAAAGCAAAAAAAAAAAAAAAAAAAAAAAAGGCGGTGGTGGTGGTGGCGGGGAGGCTGAGCCAAACAAAGCAAAGATGGCAGGGATCCTGGCTTGGTTCTGGAACGAGAGGTTTTGGCTGCCCCACAATGTCACTTGGGCGGATCTGAAGAACACCGACGAAACCACCTTCCCTCAGGTGGAAGATCTCTACTTAGCCTTTCCCCTGGCCTTCTGCATCTTCATGATCCGCATGCTTTTCGAAAGGTGAGGAGGCTCCCTTGGGCATCGCCTTCCCTCGTCCCCCCCCCCCACCCAACCCCATCTCGCCTCAGCCTCCGATGGGGGAAGGTCCGCTCTTCCCGTCACCAACGGGCGGAACCGGGCTCGCTGGGGTGTCGTGGTGGCCCTCTTGGGTTGTGTGTGTGTGCCTGAAGCTGTTACATATTGGCGGTAGGGGGAAAAAAAAAGGACCCTTGTGGCATGTCTCTTTCTCCCCCCCCCCTCCCCACCCGCCCCATTTAGCCTCTGGAGTTAGGACTCTGGGATGGACGGATCAAACTTCCCTGAAGAAAAAAAGGAAAGGGGGAATGGGGTTGCCTTACACGTATTTTGTGTTCAGAGGGATCGTTGGATTTGTAAAGCAAAACAACAACAACACCAAAAAGCATTTATTTTGGCTGGAGAGCATCTTGAGTTCATTGTAGATCCACTCTTCGGCCGGTTATCAGGGCAGGCAGTTTTGTGATGGGCAACATGCCCACATGATGGCATCCAAAGGCAAAAATTCATTGCCGGCCATCAGCCAGTCTGCTAGCATCAGTTTGGAAGAATGGGCATTTTTTTGTGGTTTTACCCTGTGGAGAATGAATGCTTCTGGAAAATGAAACTCTGCCTCTTGTTAGCTCAGTCAAGTTCTTTTCCACAGCCTCATGGCTTTGTGTGTCAGATAAATATATAATATATATATAAAATTCAGGGGAATGGGCTTTAAGGTAGGCCCTTAAAGACTATAAACCCTGTTTTTTAACAGCAGAATTTGGAAGGAGAAACTATAAAGTCCATTGAGAGGAAGGAGGCTTTCTTTACATACTCCTAGCCTTAAATGAGCGTTGTTGTTGTTTTTAAAATTAATTTAATTCCAGGCTGACGCTACAGAATTTCAAGCAGGTAAAAAGCAAATAGAGTCATGAGCCCTGGATCAAAATAGGTCCTAAATAACTTTTCAATATTATTCCATTCTAAAAGTAAATTCTCCACTTTTGATAAGCAAGTGATTTGTATATTGTTGATATAGTTCATAAGCAAAAAGGATTAAGGTTGTGAATTTACTAAAAGAGTCGTATGTTCTTGTCAGAAACTAGATTGCATTAATAATGAAGCTACAATTCTTGTTAGTTTTTAGTTCTCAACTCAAAAAAAATATTTACCACAGGGAAAATGTCTGTTGATCAAATTAGCAATAGTAAATTATGGTTCCTAAATCTTAATCTAAACTGGTAAAGTGCTGCGAATGTCACCCAGTCCATATAATGAAGATATTATATAGCAAAAAGAGTTGTTTGTTGTTGGAGAATTGCTTAAGATACACTTTTGCACAATTCTTTTCCCAATCCCTTAGGGTTGATACTGTTTAGAATTTTACTTTTTTATTTCCAGGTGATATAGGCAACCCAAATGGTTAAGGTTTTGTTTGTCATTGATTTGTTTAATATCCTGATTGTGTACAGTATAATATAATAAAGCTTCTTAATCTGACATACTAGAGGATAAAAGGATGAGGTTGATAACAGTTTGGACTCTTTTTTCTTTATTACTTGATTTCTACCATTAATCTCCTAAATCATCTTCATCCCACTCCTTTGTTTTCAGTTTGAGTCCTTGGGTGGGGGGGGGGGAGATTTGTCTGCTTCCCCAATGTAACCAAGGTATTTCATAGAAGCTCCTTAAGAGAGGGGATGAAAGGCCTTTATCACTTACTGTTTTTCTTTAAATATTACATGCTTTTTTTAGTTTTTTAAAAAAGACTTCCTCTGAATAGCAGCAACAGATAAAAACAGGTAAGTAAGTGCTTTGAAAAGAAAAGTCTGTTTCTTCTAGACTGCAGTTTATGTTTCCACGATAGGGTTTTCCAAGGGCCATTAGATCTTTCAAGTTCTACCTTCTCCATTGTTAAAAAAAAAGATTCAACATTGAAAGGATCTTGCAAGCATCTTTCCTGTGCCTGCCGAAAAGTCTGTAGCCAGTGGTACTCTGACACTCACACACGTGCCAGAGGTGAGCCAACAGAAAGTGATAGATCCACACTATCCGGTACTTTTCTAGGCTCTGTGGAGGAAGAACTGTGCTAGCCTTGACATAGTTCATTTTCCTCTGATTAGAAGCTGTGGGAGGAGAAAGTAAGAAGGTACAAAAACAGTCAAATAGAAAAGGGGAAAAAAAAAACCTATGCCTTCCACCCACCTGTCACCATAAGCTAGCAATGTATTGGGAAAGAAAATTTCCCTGCCTTGTTTCCTTCCTTTCTTTCCACATACTGTGTAGGATTGCCCTGTTTAGGAAAGTACAGAAAGGAGAAAAGATGTTGTCTAGCTGAAAAATGTCTGTTGATATCTAGCAGCTGAAGGTCTGACTGGGCCAAATAGTGCCAGAGATGTCTGCTCAGCATAGTCATACCGAAAGGTAATGTTGCTGCTATTAGCCTTATCTCCTAGTGCTCCTTGTCCAGGAATAACTCCTTTTGAGAAAAGGCAGCAATGTCTTTTTCATCACCCCTTATAGTGGATGCAACAGAGCTCATCTTTGGGTAATGCTTCAGGTACATTTATAACCCTCATCTCTAATCACATTCTTTGGTCTCCATTTTTCAAAAACATTTCTGGTAATCCATAATCACAGCACACATCTTCTGTTCTGGTATCACTGAACAAACTCTGTTCTTGTCCCTTGTTTTCAGTTTATGGCAAAATAATCATAATAGAACGTGTGAAACTGACAACACTGTCATGTCATGAACAGGTATTGACAGGACAGAGCTATTATAAGTACAAGAGTATTTGGAAATCAACCAATTTATTTGGAATATGTAAGATGAGAAACAGGCTATTGAAACAGGCTATTGAAACAGCACCTTTTCATTGTTGCATAACAGCTTGTCCTGGAAAGGAACAAGTTACCTTTTATTTATTAGCTAAATTGAACATCAAGTAATTTTTTTTTGTTCTTTACATATAAAAAGCACATTTGGTTGGTGGAAACTTATTGTCTACAGTGGAAGGTAAACTTCATGATCTGGAATTTGTTTTAGGCATTGTGCTCTTGAAGGATATACTACTTCTGAGGAGTATATTTCCATTTCAGAAGTAACTGATATTTAGTAATTTTATACAGTTCATATGAATTGCTTTTTATAAAGAGCTGGACACTCAGATTTTCAATGTTTGCATGAGGAGGACGGGAAATTCATGTGAAAGCTACATGTGTTAGGTTTAGGCTACATGCTGAACTTTAATCAGCTAAGGATGAAAATTATTTTTAAATTAATTTTATAGGAAACTCTGAATCAAACTGAACTGATTATTTTATTTATAAGGGTATCTTAGCCAATTCTTGTATATTTGGAGCATTGGTGCAGATGCCTAGATTCAGAGTTTTAACCATGATTTGTCAACTAATTCCCAATTTTAAGCCATAAACCATTGTTTACAAATCACAGTGGCTAGATCCACACACTGCTAAGTCAAAACCAAACAATGTATAGTGGCCTAGCATAATCTATAAACCTTATCAGATTGTCCTGAGTCTCTTTGCTGTCTTAATTTTTAAGAACAGAACAAAATGATGCTGCTTCCTCTCCAGAATTCTGATCATGTTAATGTTTTGTGATTGAAAATTTCTGGAAAAGGAAGGTACTACTTCAAAGGCTTGGTTCAGAGGCAAAGGCATGGTTTACTTAAGCATGATTTATTTAATAACGCCATAAACTACCATCTATAAACACAGTGGCTGGATTCGTACAGTACATTAAAGCACAGCCAAACAAAACATATTATGACTTAGCATTATGTGTAAATCCAGTGACAATATGGCTTGTGATCCGATGATCCGATGCAAAAGGGTACTGCATTCTAAACTGTACCTGTTTCTCCATTGGCCTGTCCATATCCCACATATCCTATCTTTAAATTTAAAAACAAGAAGACAGGAAAATATAATGTGTATGCAAAGTATACACAAGCTGCATTCATGCAACAATTTTTGCTTAACCATTCTTTGTTGAGTAAATGAGAAAGTATGGCTTTTCACGTTATGGATTTTTGTGCTTGTGAGAGGAAACAAGAAATGTAGTATGCTTTTGTGGCAAACCATAGTTTAACATCTCCCAAACCATGAAATGATGGCTTCTGCATGCTACAGTTATTCTCTAGTCTGGATCTCAGCAGACTATTTGGGGCTCTAGCATGTGGTTTTGCAAAATTGTTGGTTGATTGGCTTAGATAAAGAGGCAAATGTTGTTTTTCTCAAACAAGACTAAAA